GGGCCGCGCGCGGGGGAGGCCGGGAGGGTGTGCGGGGCGTGCGCGCGCCTTAAGACGGCGGGAGGGGGAACCTGAAGGTTTTGCCACTGGTTCATCCCTGGCTTCAAGATCCGGTTCGGTGATAGTCCGACTTTGGGACCTGAGTCTTCCCTGGACCGAACAGTGAATCCGCCTCCCCGCGCTTCTGGAGCAGGAGAGGACCGCAGCCCCTCACTACAACCACACCAACGCCCTTCTCAAGCCACAGAACGCATGGGGTGTCGAGGGCGAAAGCATAGCTAAAAAAGGGAAAGGACTTTGCAGCCCCCTGACCACTTGGTTTGTCAGACAGGCGTTTGAGGGTGTGCTGCGTGCGAGGCGTTGGGATGCGGGTGAACAGGACCCACACTTCCCTCTCTTCGTGGAGCTTATGTTCCGGAAGTGAAGACAGCCAAGGAAAAAACGGACAAACCACGACTTTAAGCAATCATGGTGCTGTGGTGAAAATTCCCATTTCGACGGTTTGTCGGCGGGACTAATGACAACAAATGTTCCACTGCAGGGGGCGGGTAACGTAAGCAACGAGTCTCACTGACGTCGCGCTACGTCAGTGCCCGGGAGCAAAGGCAGAGGTCCCCGCCACTCCCACCCCTCCTCGCTTCATTTTCTTTCCTGCAGTGCTCGCTCTTTCCAGGCACCGATCTCCACTTCGTCCCTCCAGCAGTAACTGGGGCCCGGCTCTGCACCGAGTTTGCGCCTCCACCGCACCGCGGCCGGCGGGGGCCTCGAGAGCCGGGCGGGGACAGCTCCCCGTGGCGACCCCGCCACACCTCTCGCCTGGGAAAGGGCCTGTTAGGACCTGACCTGCCGCAGGCTTCGGCGGGAGGGGTTGACACCGTAACTGGCGTTGAGAACACTAACCGCCAAGTGTAAAGAAAACAAACTGCCCGGTCCCTAGGTCAAGTCCACCGCGCCGCCCCCGCGCTCCACAGTCGCGACCTCGGCCGGAAGTTGGCGGGCCGAGGCGGAAGGGGCGAGGCCGGAAGTGCCTTCCCGTGACTGCCACGTCGGAGGCGGCTGTGGCTGATACGGTGACAGATCCTGGGGCCGGAACCGGGCACGATGGCGGACTGGGCTCGGGGTGAGCGCGGGACAGCGGAGCCGGATGGCGGCAGGGCCGGCCGTCACCGACACCGCTGTCCTCAGCAGCCCTCCTTGCTGATTGGTCTCGGCAGGGCCTGCGAACTGGCGGAGCCTGGTCCTGGCGGGGCCAGGCTGCACCCGGTCCCGCACAGACGCGCCGTGAGGGGTCGCTGGGGCCCTGGGTGCTCCCGCCCACCCGCGCCGCGAAGCTGCGGGGTCCCCGCCGCTCTGTCCCCTGAGAGACCGTTCTGCATTGGGCCTCGGCCGGCCACCGGGTGGACGCAGCCCTAGAGGTGGAAGCTGCGTGGTGGGAGGGTCTAAGCCGGCCTCGCAGTGACTGGGGCCTTGGACGCCCCATTTGCTGTCTGGGACCCCTGTTCTCATTTGCGAAGTGGGATGCTGACTGCCTGTCCCTCTAAGCTCTTCTGACCTTTAGGAATTAAAGGGAAGGGAGTGGTGGGACGTTAACAGGCTTTCCTTTGGGGCTTGTACACATCAGTGATTCTTAGGGCTGCACTGCCGTTAGAAGGGTCACAATGAGGACGTGGTTCCATAGTATAGCAGTTAGCACGTCTGCTTTACATGCAGAAGGACCTGGATTTGTGCCCAGTGGAGCCACGGCCCATGGTCCACGGCCATGCTAGGCCATGCTATCCTGAACAAGCCCGATGCCTGATCTCGGAAGCTAAGCAGGGTCAGGCCTGGTTAGTTCTTGGATGGGAGACCACGTGGGAAGACCAGGGTGCTGTAGGCATAAATAATAATTAATAATAATAATAAGGGCACAATGAGGCATGTGGCCCACAGCAGATTTGTACCCCAAAGTTGGGGAGAGATTGTTTCACAAACCTGGCGTGATAGTAGTTCTGAATCGGCTGGCCCAGCCCTAGTCCTGGGGCAGTTCTCAGCAGGCACTGTGTTCAGGGTGTCAGACAAAGCCCTTGCTGGGTTGCAGAGGTGAGCAGATCTAGGCCTTAGGGGTCAACCTCAGCACCTGTTTCTCGGTGTTGAGTATTGCTCCCTGTTTCCTCTGGTTACTCGTTGCCTCTCCAGGACCGGGTTCACAGGTGGTCCCTGCAGGGGCCTTCCTGCTGCCCCCTGGGTACGCTTCCTAAGTCTCCCTACCACAGTTTACTGTTTATCTCTGAGAACAGGTTCCAGGTACACTGATGGTGACGTGGAGGGGTGGTACAGATTCTGTCATGATACCTGAAAGTGCCAATTTGACTGAATTGTTTGCAGTTGTACGCTTTGAGATGCCTACCTGTCCTGGCCTTGACATGTACACAGGACATGTGCTCATGCACACTGTCATTTATGCAGCCTGTCTCATGTGGGCTAAGTGCATGCACCACACCCTGGCTTAGGGCTGGGCCTGTTCTCAGACACAGATGGACCCAGTTTCCCCAGATGTGAGACTTGGGCAGATGGGGTCGTGGTGGGTCCCAGAGGCCACGAAGGACTGACAGGCAGGGTCAGGCTCGCGTGTGGGTGTACTCCTCAGCCTCTCTCTTCTTGCAGCCCAGAGCTCTGGTGCCGTGGAGGAGATTCTAGACCTGGAGAACAAGCGGATGGCTGACAACTTGGCTTCCAAGGTCACCAGGCTCAAATCGGTCAGTAGTGAACTCCCCTCACCATCTGGCACCCCAGAGTGGGGATCAGAGGGAGGATAGAAGCCTGGAAGAGTTTTATGCACTTTCTTCTTGTCCCATCGAAGGCTGTGCTCATTCGTGTGAGGCTTAGGTGACACCTGGACCTGACCTCTGGGAGTGGTACCATGTCTGGCAGAGTTATTAGCCAGGTCTGCTGGTTTTGTAGGGGGTTACACGCTATCAATGTGTCTGCCCTGGCTTGACCCAGCCCCCTCTGTGTTTTGACCAGCTGGCCCTGGACATCGATAGGGACACGGAAGATCAGAACCGGTACCTGGATGGCATGGTAAGGGTCTGCGATGTGCCCTGCGCTGCCCGTTGTGCAGGCCCCGCGTGGGCCATGGAGGCATCACCCATGTCTGACCGGGCCGGGCTTCCTCCCTCAGGAGTCAGATTTCACGAGCGTGACAGGCCTGCTCACAGGGAGCGTGAAGCGCTTTTCCACCATGGCACGGTCTGGGCGCGACAACCGAAAGCTTCTGTGCGGTATGGCTGTGGGCCTGATCGTGGTCTTCTTCATCCTCTCCTACCTCCTGTCGAAGGCAAGGACGTGAGCGAGTGGGACGTGAGCTTCTGTGGGTGCCTGGGGCAACCAGAGTCTTCCCCATCCTGGTGTCCTGGGCTCCAGAGGACTTGCCTACGAAATACTCCTTTGAAATGGCGATTGTGGCTTAGGAATCTTCTTCCTGTGTGGCTGGGAGCCCATGGTTGCCTCGGATTCAGTGAGCTGTGTTGGCTGGTCCCATGTGTGTAAGGGGTCCCGGTGTTAGAGGCACCGACAGAGCCACGTCAGCAGAGCAGCCAGAAGTCCTGGATGTGGCCACCCGTGGCCAGCAGCCCTTCTGCAGCGCTTGGGGCTCTGATGTCCCAAGGCTCCTCCACCCCGTCCTTCTCTGGGTAAGGCCACATCCAGTGTCCGAGGTGCCTGGATCTGACACGGGAAGGGGTGTGCTGGGGAACTCTGATCAGCACCATCTCCTCCAGGAGTCCTCAGCCCAGATGTGGTGGCTTCTCCTGGCCAAGGCTGCGGGGCCCACCACCAGGCCCTGCGCCTGCCCTCCAGTCCACGGCTGAAGGACAGGGCTGTGGGTGGAAGAGTGGCCCACAGTCCTGGCTGGAGGCCCTGGACCCGGATCCTTCCGGATCTCATGGCCATTTATCCAAGACCAGAAACTCACATTTTCTCAGGACTTAGGGTCAGCCTAGCACCAAAGGTGTATTTACAGGAGAGCAGATCTGTGGAAGCAGGCCTGCCTGGCACTTGAGAGTCAGAGGGGGTGGTCATCCCTGCACAAACCCTCTCCTGAGGGTCACTGGGCAGTTCCCACGCCAAGCACAGCCCATCTTCCCTCAGCAAGTCTCCCCTTGCTGTGGGGGCTCTGAGCCACCCCCTCGTCCCCTGCCATGGCAGACTGCTCGCCCCACCCACCTGTCCCCGGGCCCCTGCTGCCCACCTGGCCAGCCTCACGCTCACGAACCAAACCACAGGCCCAGCCAGGCCAGCGGCTTCGTACCCCGCAGTGACATCCCAGCACCCTCGTGTTTGCGTAAAAACAGTCGAGGGGGGAGTTGTCGGCCGTGTGTCCTTCCGTCTCTGTTTCCATCCACCTTCCCAGTCACTCCCCCTTACTGCCTGCAGACTGTCGGCGCACTGTCTCCTCACCTGCACGGTCACCGCACGTGCAGTCACAGCCTGGTGCCTGTCTGCCCCTGCTGCCCTCTCTCTGGTCTCCCTCCTTCCAGTACCACCACTGCTCCTGTCTGCCCCCCTCCACCCGGCAGGCCAGGTCTCAAAGCGTCACTGCAGTGCCCTCTTCCCTGCTGGGGGAGGAGGCCCCAACCTCACCCCTAGGGCCCCATTCTTTGTGCCCCCAGCCTCCAGCGTGGGCTCATGTCACACTGAGGTCGGCTGACCCACCTCTATGTTTGGGGCTTGGCTGCTTCCTCGATGTCCCAGCCCCCGAGGTCCTGCCTGGCTACTTCAGCTTTGATTGAGCCCCCTGCTCATCTGTCGGTCCTCATCGTGGGGACTTGTCCATTGCTCGCCAAGCTAGATCGCTGCTGCCTGTATCTTCCTGGTCACCGTGGACAGGGCACAGACCGGAACCCAAGTTCCACATCCCCCAGCCTTTCCTGGGCCCGTGATGCTCACCCCACACCTGGAGAACACCCCCGAGGATGTTCCCTGCCCCACTGTGCCTACTCATGTTATGCGGACCTGGCTGGCTTTTGGGAGAGCTTTTTCCGTTCCCGTCTCCTGGCTGCTAGTTCTGTCCCCACCCCTCCACCTCCACGGCTCTGTGCAGCCCTCCCAGCCATTTGGAGGCCTGGGTTTTAGTTCCTTTCTGGTTTACATTTGTTTCTGTCACGATGTTGGGATGGGTCTGTGAAGGGGACATGGTGACTGCAACTGCCACATCAGCAGGGCTTCCTGTAGGCCTCACCTTGCCGCTTAGCCCTGGACCCTCAACACCTAATCCTGGGATGAGGGGGCTTTGCTGACATTGATTCCCAAGACCAGGAAAACAAGAAAGGACCTGGGGGCTCAGTCTGCTACAGTAAGGACAGATTGTCAGGCTCTATCCTGTAATTCAAGGAAAAGACACTAAACAGTTTGCAATAAACAGCTTTGTGAGGGAGCAGACACGTGGTTCTCCGTGTCCTCGTTTCCTTGGGGGCTTGGGACAGTTTGGTTTGGAACTGACCCTGGTCCACGGACTGGCCGTGGCACCGAGGACCCACACCCCACTCCTTCCTCCATCTCTGCCCCTCCCAGGCCCATCAGGCAGCTGGTCACTTCTCGCTGCTCACCTTTTACTGCCAAGATCCTGTCACTCGGGGGATGGAAGCATTGCCTCTTAGGCGCTGAATGGGTGGGTGTGACCTGTAGCCTCGCGGGGCTGCAGCCGAGGGAGCATCAGCAGCCACGCTCTTCGTCTTGTGCTGGTGGTCCCCCAGGGGCCACAGGCAGGGCCTCCCACCCTGAGAGCCTCGGTGGCCTCTCCCCAAGGCCGAGGTGAAATCCAGACCCCACTCCTCAAGGCCCGACCGTGGGTCCCGGGGCAGTGTCTGGAAATGCCCCTCTCAGGCACAGCTTGGACGCTACCTTCCTGCCCGTGTCTTCCTGTTCTTCCTGTATCGCTGTGATGTGGAACAGGTCACCTTAAAACTTAGTCACCTGAAGGCGTGGTAGTAATTTATGTCTTAAGGTTACTGTGGTTGGAACTTGAGACATGCACAGCGAGGACAGCAGTTTCTGCCCTACGATGTCCAGGCCTCACCTGGTGGACACTGGCTGGGCTGCCATACCCTGAAGGCCTGCTCACGCATCTGCAGGTTGGTGCTGGTGTGAGCTGAGGGCCCATCTAGGCTGACTGCCCAGGTGTGACGGTGAGCAAGGTGAGCGGTCCAGGCAGCAGCTGTGTCCTTTGTTGAATGGCCTGACCCCAAAGTCATGCGGCGTCACTTTACGGCGGTCACAGGCTTTAGTCCGGATTCAAAGGGACCCCACTAATCAGTGGTGGAGTCAGCACAGCGGCAGGAGAGTGCGGGAAGGAGGGATGGGTGCAGGTGTGGCCGTCGGGTCTGCAACCAAACTCAGGGCGGGTGTCTGCCCTTCGAGCCCGGCTGTCTCTGCTCGGGCCTAGGCCCTGGAAGCCAGGACGGGACCCATGGGGGCTTCTGTCTGAAAGCTTGACGTTCCCCCCAAGACAAACCATCACCAATGGAATCCATGATTTATTAAATATGTGGGCACAGCAGCAAACAAGATTAGCAAATGGGAAAGTAGCATAGAAAAAATAACGGGTCGCAGTTGTCTGAGCAAGCGTGTTCCACTCTGCAGGGCTGCAGGGCCAGGCCGGCCAGTGGGGGAGCGCCCTGAGCCCACATCCCAGGGCCGGGCTCCAGCCCAGGCGCGGTGCAGACCAGGGCTAGTCCACGTCCACGACCAGCGGTGTCATGTAGTCAGAATGTTTTATGCCGAAGGTGACGATGGGGGCGCAGGGCTTAGTCATTGTTACCTGGGAGAGGAAGGGCTGTGAGAGGAGCCGCCCCTGCCCCACCCCGCAGGCTCTGCTGTCACCCGGGCTAGGGTTGCTGATGGCTTTCCTGTTCCTCCGGGACCCCAGGCCAAGATGACCAGCGTGAAGGCCACACTACCAGGTCTGACCACAGCCTGGTATGTAATGAGCGCTCGGTAGCATTAACTGTCACCAGTGTCTGGGGATGCAGAGCCTGCCAGCTGGGGAAAGGTCTCAGTGCCGTAAACGCACGGCATCCTGAACGCGCATGGCCACTGTGACCCCTGCTGGCTCATACCGCCATCCCTACCCCACCCCCTCAGCCTGTGTGCACCCTGTCTGGACCGTGTCACCCCCACCACCCTCTTCCCGACCTTCTCAGGGCTGTGAGCTCCTGGTCCTGGCTTGAGGGTCTTGTCCCCTGGGGGCTCCACTCGGGCAGCCATGGTGTACTGTGGAGCCTTGAATTTCGTCACCTGCACATCGGTCTGACGGTAGGCCGCGGGACCTGGGGTCTGGGAAGCAAAAGAGGCTCAGACAGGCTCGGCCTGCCAGGCCACGTGACTCCAGAGGGCGAGGGGCTGGCATCAGACAGTGGGCTTCGGGCCCCGGGTCGCTGTGCGTCTGTGTGTCGGGCTCCTTCATCTCCAGAGTCCCCGTGGGGATGACACCTCGGCATGTGCCAGCCCCCGCACTCACCCCTCCCGCGGGCGTGTGATGGGGGCCCCTTCCTGCTGGGCACTGGCCTGGGGCTGAGGGCGGTGGGCTAGGCTGGGCGGCAGTTCAGGGGTGCTCCTGCCTCAGGGCCTCTACACCCATTTCTGCGGCTGGGACCCCCCCCACTACCTCACAGCCTACTCTCCTCCTGTCTTCCTCCTGCGTGCTGCCCATGGAGCGCTGCTCCGTGACCCCGCCCTGTTCAGCCCTTCTTTGCATTAGGGTGTAACCCGACACTTGGCAGGAGAGCTGAGGGCTCTCAGGAGGGCAGGATCAGGCCTCTGGGCCCTGGGCTGGGGGGCGGAGGCAGATGGGGGTGAGCTCCACCCACTGGGCCCCCCTTGCCTTGTGCACGTCGTCACTGAAGCTGCCCAGCTTGCTGCGGCCTTTGATGGAGAAGGAGGGCTGGGCGGCCTTGCCGACCGTGTGCGGCCCCATCACCACGGGCAGCATGTAGGCGGCGGGGCCTGAGGGTGCAGCGGCGCTGAGTCTCCCCGGGCTCATGCCCTGGGGCTCCCCGCCTCCAGGGGGCCAGCGGCAGGCTACCCCACCGCGCCCGCCCACCCAGGCCCCGACCCAGCCCGCCATGGGCCCTCAGGGTCGTGGGAACCTGGGGTGCTGTCCACTTGGAAGGTCTTGGTCCGGGCAGAAATGGAGTGGCTGGGCGCCGAGTCGAACACATGCTTGGTCGATCTCTCTGGAAAGTAGTCGCCTGGGGGAGGAAGGGCCCTCATGCAGGTGCCTGGCCTTCTCAGGGGCTTGGGGACCCCAGTGCGGCAGGTTACTGAGATTGGTCGGGGTACCCAGAGTGGGAATGCTGCAGGACTGGGGTGCAGGAGGGGGTAGGGTCTGACATGGGCCTGGTGTGGGGACAGGGGCCGAGTGAGGCCCAGATCAGAGCTGGGCTCAGGTGGCTCGTAGGCTGCGCTGTGGTCAGCAGCTCCTCTGCTTGTGCCCCCTCGTGAGCAGAGGGACAAGGACAGGAGGGCGAGGACACTGCCCCCTCACACCATTGGCTCTACAGGGCGCACAGTGGCCGCCAACAGGCTCGGGCTGGGCTGGGGCTGCCACTCACCGGGGCCAGGGGTCAGCAGGGTCTTGGTGCTGTAGCGCCCCAGGATGGAGAAGGCGGGGCCGAGGTCCTTGCCGGTCCTCAGTATCTTGGGGTTCACGCTGTAGCGAGGCCCTGGAGAGCAGTTCTCTGCCAGGAGCATGGGGGCCCCACGGAAGCTGTAGGCGGGTGCCCGCAGCTTGGTGGGCGTGTGCTTCACAAAGCCTGTGGAGCAGGGGCTCTGAGCAGCCTGGGGCCAGACCCCAGCCTTCTCTGCATCCTATGACCCCAGCGGAGTCGATGGGCTGAGAGTCAGGGCTGAGTCCCAGGCCCACCTCACACCTGGCTCCCGCCCCTCCCCCCACAGTTCCCTCCCGGACCCAGAGGCGCTTACCTGTGGTAGGTGGAATCAGGTACTTGGGTCCAGGGCTGCTGTAGAGGGCCATGATGGGCCCCCGGGGGCGGTGGGGCCTCCAGGTGCCCACCCACACCTCCTCTGCCATGGCCGGCTCTGTCCATGGATAGGAGGGTGACCAAGTGCTGGGAGTCTGCAGCCCCGCACCCCTCCCTGCTTGTGCCCCACTGATGGGCAGAACGTCAGGCCACAGCTTCCAGGGCAGGTCCCGAGCTGGAGCCCAGACCTCAGTGAGCGGTAGGCCTCTGCCCGGAGGAGCAGCTTTCTTCTGCCCTCACCAGTCCCCGGGGGACAGCGTCAACCTTGGTGTACAAGCCTGGAAGAGCTGTCTCCTCTGCCCTCACTGGCCACCCTCCCTGGCCCTAAAGGGTTCTGGCCGGGTTCCTCCCTCTCAGAGACGTGAGGGCCAAGGCTGTGGGGGGTGGGCGACCCTCTGGGGGGACCCTCACCTCTTCAGTCCAGGAGCCGCACTCAGAGCAACCTATGGGCCAAGCCTCCTCAGAGGTGGTCCTGTCACATTGTCCTTGGAGCCGGGGAGTTCCGCGAAGGGAGCATGGAGAGCCAGGCGCCTCCCTCTCTCTCGTCTGCCACCAGGGGCTTTGAGAATTGGGGAGGTCGCAGCTCCTGAGCTCTAGAATGTGGCTCTGTGCGGTGGTAGGTTCTAGATCACTGTCTGTGTGATGGGGACAATGGCCTCTCCTGGAGGGTAGGCAGGGTGTGGCTCTGCTGCTCACTGAGAGGGACACGAGGCACAGAGAGCAGGACGAGGGACAGCGAGGGCCTGGACCGGGCAGCAGGGCCAAGTGACCCAGAGCCAAGCGGCCATGGCGAAGCTGGCGAGGACAGAGCGGCCCCTGGCGGAGGCCACTCTGCCGGAAAGGACCCTGGGACCCGGGTGGGGGTGGGGCGGGGTAGGGTGGGGTTGGCAGGTCACCGTGGGAAGCTGCTGGTTGCAGCGGGAACTTTGAGGCCCACGCTGTCCTGCACACCACTGGCTGTGCCGGCCCCGTGAGCAGGCGCACTTACCTTTCTGTCCCTCTTAGGGCTGGGTTGGCGTGTCTTCTAGGCAGACTCTTCTTGGGTGACTTTGGGGAGAGAGATCGCTCCCAACCCTCGCCCCTGCTACGTGTGTGTTGTGTGCGCTTGTTGTCTCGGAACCCCCAGCCTGGCGCTTCCTCTTCCCAGGGCTGTCTGCTGCCCGCCCCTCCCACCGCAGACAGCCCCCCCC